AGGAGGGTGTGTGAAACCCAAGCCTTGCACCTCCTGCAGCCGTGCAGGGACGGGACGGGGCTGCCTGGCTTGCACACACAGTTCTGGGGCTTCAGGGCCCCTTCCCGGTGCAGCTGCCTCTGGGCTGGAAGGCTGCTGCCGGCCCCGCTGGCAGCGTGACAGCGTGGGGCTCGGCTCCCCCTGCACAGCCCCTTGCCCTTGCTCTGGCAGCCGACCCAGTGAATGTGCCGGAGTTAATGGGAAGGGCTTGGGATGATGTGTGCGGCGGGGGGATGCGGGCTCATTCCCTGCAGCGGGGCCCAGCGAGGAAATCTTAGTCATATTAATAATCACGGTGATGCTGTGAGCGGCGGCTGCGTGCCCCTGCTGCCTTCCTGCTCAGACAGAAAGGAGGAGGAGAAGGGGATGTGACCAAGCTGCAGGGCATTTGTGTGCAGTGGAGCAGGCGGGTGCCTCTGCTCGGTGACCTGGCAGCAGCTCTGTGTGTCCCTGTGCTGCCAGCCCTGGCTGGGATGGGGAGATGAGGGAGCCTGGTGCCTGTGGTGGAGATGGGCACTGGTGCAGCACCTCTGCTAATGCAACACCCCTACCAGTGCATCACCCGCACCTTGGTACTGAGGGAGCATTAAACAACTCAAAAGCCTTTGAGGAGGGAAAAGGTGGTATGAGCTGGGGTTTTATTTTAAATAGAGTCTGTTCCTGGGTTCATGCAGGGATCTGCTGGCGGTGTCCGAGCACACTGGAGATGCAGGGCACATCTTTGGGGCCACCCGCAGGGTTTTTACATATGCCAGGAGGAGTTTCCAGCCCGGTGTTGGGTGTCGTGGCTATGCTGTGGCTTACCTGAGGCTGCCCTGCACCTCAGCAGGGTCAGTGTGTGCCTTCCCACCACCCTGTCTGCTCCACCAGGATCGGGGTCAGGCTGCGGTGGCACCCCAAAGCCCTCGCGGGCAGTGGCAGTGGGTGCCAGTGGGGTGCTGCTGCCCCTGCCTAGGGCTGTGTGATGGAAATGGGCATCTGGGACAGGTCTGGGGGTGAAGGGGAGGTTGCAGGCAGGCACTCAGGGTACGTCCATGCAGCGCCTGGCTGGGTCTGGAGCAGGGCTGTGATGCACAGATGGAAGAGTAATTAAGAGTAATAAAAGGAAAGAGACTTGGATTCGCTACAGTCTCAGCACATTAATTGTGCTTTGGGGCCCAAATCATAGCGGAGTCCTGCTAGAGGGAATCCAGAAGAGAAACCAAACATCTTGCTGTGTCCAAAGCTGACCATTTAAGAGACCCTTGCCTTCATCTGCTGCCAGGTATTACTTCCAGAGCCTCCCATCTGCCAAAACCCAAGTTCTCATTTGAAATATTTTAGGGAAGGAAGAAAAGCTGCGGTGACAGTCTGAGTGCTAGCGGTAGGGAGGCAGAGTGCGATGCGCTGAGGACAGCACGTGGCTCTGCTTGCTGCTGGGGAAGGAAACATGGGGTTATTGGGGCTCTCCTACCCACAGAGGCATCATCCCATCTGGCTGTGCTGTGTCACCGGGCTGGCGTGTGGAGTTTTGCTGCTCTCGTGCCTGAGGACTGGGTTGAGTTGTGCCAGCAAGTGGATGTCCTGCCGGTGCTTCCATGCAGGCCGAGCATCTCTTCTAAATTGACAAGCAATTACATGGTTAATGGTATCAATGTTAAATCCTCATCACTCAGCAGCCTGAGGCTTAATGCTTCATTAAGGCAAAGGCATCTAATAGCTCTCAGGACTGGGAGCTGCCTTTTCTTTTGAGCCTGAGTAGAAGTCATTTGTCCAGAGGCTGCTTTTGGTCTCTTGGTCCTACAATCAAACTGTAAGTCCAGAATGGAAGGGGGGGTTGGGGCAGGAAAATGCTCCCATACATTCCATGTTGCTGGGGCTGCCTGGATCAAGCCTTGTTGATGTGATGGACCTGCACACTGTAAATGTGGCATGTGGAGATCACGGCTGTTGTTTGAGACCTGCCATTTCCTAGTCCCCTGGGTGTCCCCAGCTCCCTGCCTGTCTTCGTTCATCATTTCATAGCTCTGCCTTGTGCTTCTGCCCTGCAGCCACCTCTCCCCAGGCTCAGGGCTGCTTCTCACCTCTCCCTGCAGCAACTCTGTGCCTGTGGATTTACCTTTTCCTCCCTTATGTTACTATGCATTTATTGGTGCTGAATTTCGTCAGCCATTGAGGATTGGTGATGGCTCTGCCCTCGTGAGCACAGCAGTGACTGTCACAGATGCTCTGGGCTTCATCTCACTACTCACCACGTGCCTCCTGGATCACACGTCTCTGCTGGAGCGGTGCAGGCCTGATCCTGTGGCCTTCTGCTGGTAGATCTGATGCTGTGAAAGCAAGAAATGACGTGGGAGGATCCGCTCTCCAAATCTGAGCCTTGCAGCACCCACGGGTCATCAGGGACTCCTGGCTGCAGCCCCCTGCTCCTCGCCTCTGGACCCCTGGCTCAGCAGCACATCAGTCTGTCCTGAGTGTTCGTATAAAACCTGCCAGAAGCTGCACTCTTTTGGCCATTTGGATGGGATTATGACTTTTGGAAGCCCAGCCAGCTGTGTGGAGCATCTTGTTTTGCTTTGGCCTGTTTTGGATCTGTACAGAGTGTGGTAGTGTGTGTCGTTGTTTCAAGTGGCTGCACGGGAGACTATCGCCATGGGTTTTGCAAGTGTTGTGCCTTTTTACCTGCCCCTTTTGGTGTGCCTTCAAGCAGCTGCTTCATTTTGTTCATGTGGTTCCCTTTCAAAGCTGCTTTCTCCTGTCATCATTCTTATGATCAGAACAAGAGGAGGCTTCTTGAACAACGTCCTGCATGCGGCACAGGAGGAAGGTTGCTCAGCTGTGTCCCCTGGCCTGTCCCTGTGACTCCAGCTGCCATTCCTCCATCCTGTTTGGATCTTTAATGTTTTTGTTGTACCCGAATGCAACATCTCCGTTTAACGTTATTTTGGAGGAAATGCTGTCTTCCATTACTGCTGTGTGCTCTACCTTTGCAGGATCTCATAGTTCCCTATGCTGGATCCATATTTACTCTGTGGATCATTCTGATATAATTAGGTTATTACATTATAAATAAGACCTTACGAGGTCTCGCAGAGGCTGGTTTTACAGACTGCTCTGGTTTCCCTGCCCCGCTGTGTTGCAGTGTGAATGGGTGAAGTCTATTCAAGATGGAGCAATCCATGCCATGGAGCTGGGAAGTTGTTAATGGAACTGCTTCAGGGCCATGTGCTGGGACATACTGGCTTATTTCAATCCCAAACCAATGCCTCTGGCCTGGGAGAACTGGGCTGCTATGCCTTCTGTTGGAGTTAGCTCCCTAAGATGTTTATATGGGGAGTTTGAGCCTGTTCAGGTTAAGAAGAGCTGTAGGGGGGCGTTTCTCTACATTCCCAGGCGTTTGCGTCGGGATTTGTGCTGACAGTGCTGCTGTCAAACCGCCCGGCAGTGAATCCCAGATGCGTGGATGTACGGCTCCATCCAGGGAGCTGCTGGCAGGCGAAACCCCGCCGCTGGAGAGGTGATAACTCAGCAAACGGCCCAATGACTTTCTGATTAGTAAAACATTTGCTGGTGTTTCTCACGAGAGCCTCGATTGCACAGAGGCGTTTGGACAGAGCTGATGGACTTTGAGCTGCATCCGGGCGTGATCCAGGCTCGCTTTCCGGCGTAGCCCAGCACTGAGTCCTCATCAAGGCACCCCAAGGGTCTTGCTGTGGGAAAGCCAGTGCAGAAGAAAGACCTTGCTCCATAACTCAGCCTCTGCCCATCACCTCCTCACCGACACCCAGCGGGGTCTGATGGATTCAGCCCCACCAACCATCAGTCACCCGCCCTCCCAAACCCAAGCTTTTGTGGGGTGGAGGCAGGAATTGGGCTGTGCAGGCAACCTGAAACCCCAAGGCTGAGTTTTGGCATTGAGCTGTGCTGTGCTGGCCAAATCCTGCTTTGCTTCACTGCCTTGTCTCTGTAAAACTATCCCTGTAGCTTCACGATTCTCCATTGTGCCGCCTTTCCTTAGCTCCTCTCGTGCTGTATGCCGTCACCATCCCTCTCCCAGGGTTTGTTGCTTCCCCAGCAGAATAAATCCCCATGCCTGGATTTGGAGCACTGGGATGATTTGTGTTTGCTGCGATGGACAGAGGTGCCATCTCGAGGACCATCCCTCATCTCAGGGAGAGGTGGATGTGTGCCTTACACCCAGTGCATCACCCATCCACTGGGCATAGCAACCCCTGGGCACTTGAGGCCTCATTGGGGGTTAGAAGCCACTTTGAGTGTGTTTAGCAGGGTCTGTCACTGCGGTGCTCAATGCTGTCATGCTCTAATTTGGGTTAATTCTGTCCCATGTTCCCCCTGCCCTGAGCTGTCCCTGCCATGGCAGAGGGCTGGCGGGCACGTGGATGTGTGGATGTCCCTCCCTGCGTGGTGGCAGCGGGAGGCGTGCGGCTCCCTGAGCTCCCGCAGGACTGAAAGGCTTAAAAAAATCTGTGCCGGCTAAAGCAGAAAGTTAATGTGAATTTAACTGACTTCTGCCCTGCAATTAGAGCCACTCAACCCCATTGGGGCTCTGAGTTTACATTCTTTACTGAGGCACAGTGTGTAATTATATATGTATAATTTAAACTGTGCATATGCATGTGTTCCTATTATACACCGAGGAGCAAAGGAAATTATCCAGGAATTAAAGGGGGAGGAGGGTGCAGGCATGGATAATGGTTTGCTTGTGTGGATGTGGCAGCGAGGGGAAGCTGGGGGGATCACATCCTCATCACTGCAAACATCTTCAGAAGGTGCAGAAAACAAGAACTCGGTGTTTTAAACACTGTGGGTGCCAGACTGAGGCATGAAGAAGCAGCCGCAATGAGGGGTCAGGAATGAACCTCAACATGCTGAGCCCCTGCTAGGGGACAGAGGGGACCTGCCCAGCGGTGTCCTTGCAGCTTCCAGAAGGCCTGCCTAACGCTTCCTCTCTTCTCTTGCAGCCACTTCCAACGGGACGCTGGATGGCCTGGAGAACCGGGAAGGAGGGGTCTGCCAAACACGCTCCATGAAGATTGTCATGAAAGTGGGGCAGGGTGAGTCCCTCTGCACCCTCAGGTCTCCTGTCACCAAAATGCCTTTGCCCAGCAAGATGTTGGCTCCTGAACTGTGTGTAGGGGTCTGATTCTGGGGAAGCTGAGGCCGGGCCAGCTGGTCCCTGGGAGGCTTCCGTGGTTAATTCAGCGGAATTTCATTTTTTGCTCTTTTTTCCCCCTTTTTTTCTTTTGCCAACACTTGCACATGCTTGGTGTGCTGGGATTAAAATGGAGCAGTTGTTCTGTGTTGCCTCGTGGTTTGTGTTATGGTGGGAAGCTAGCTCAGCATGGGACCCATGAACCGTGCAAGCGCATCAGTGGGGGGGGTGGCACAGGCAGTGTCCACGTGAGCTGTTGGGGACCCCAGGGGGGTTCCAGTTGGGCATGCTGGCAGCTCTCAGCAGTGCTGGCCACCACAGTGTGGGGACAGTGCAGGCTGATGGCGGCAGTGGGACACCAAGGGTACCACCGATGGAGGGACTGTGGTGTGTGCTCGTCTCCTGGAGGGAGCTCCCCAGCACTTTCCATCCCGAACTGCCTGGTGTCTCCCAGCACTGGGATGCCCCAGGCTTGTGTCAGCCCCTGATTCAGATGCACAGCTCCTGATGGCTCCTTTTCATTATTGTGTTTTCACTGTGGGGCCAATACTTATAATAAACAGAAGAAGCAGTGCTGCAGCCTTGGCAGGCTGCCTTCCCTTCCTGTTCCTCCTGCTGCCCGTGCAAGAAACTTGCCCCAACCCACGCATGGGAGCTCAGAAAACAAAAATCGGGGGGTTGGGATTAGGGTGGGGAAGCTACTTCCCATGAGCCCTGAAGCAGATCAGCCTTGCTCTGCCGCTCTCAGCATCTCACATTGCTCCTGTTATCTCCCTTCAGCCTCTGGGGGTGGCTGGCTGGGGTTGTTGGGGCAGTTGTGGAATGAGGAGTGAGCTGCTGCCATCCAGGTTGGATCTCATCTGTCCCTTCCTCTCCTTTCCCCAGATCCAAATGCAGTGATCCCGGAGCAGCTGACGACAAGTCGGCCGAGCAAGGAGTCCGACAACACCGTGAAGATCGTCACACAGAGCCCACGCAGCAAGGTCCCCGCGGTGGAGGAGCCCGGCAAGCCGGGTGAGCTTCAACAGGGACACGCAGGGGAGGGATGGAGGCTCTGCCCACCCACAGGGCTGGAGGTAGCTGCTGCCGGCAGGGCAGCTCTGAGCCAGGCTTGTAGCATGGATCCCAGGAATGCCAGGTGCTCCAGAGCAAGGACCTAACGGGTTTACCATAAACATTGTGCCCATCTCTGCCATCCCTGTGGCTCACAGCATCTCCTTGCCTCAGCGCTGAACCTTCTGGCCAGGGACCACTCAGGGCACAGTACGGGCAGTCAGGCTGCAGTGTGGAGCAGCTTGGGTTTGTTTTCCCAGCTCTGGTATGTCCTGGCAGCTGCTTCTCAGGGAAATGCTGTTTCAGCACTCTCCTCCTCCTTCTTGCTGCCCATCTGTTCCTTGCAGTACATCTGAGAGGGCTTGGAGGAGGTGAGGTCCTTGGGTTTTTGAGCTGAGCCAGTGTGAAATCCTTTTGAAGGTGGTTTCCTGAGTTCCTGACCCTGCTGAGAGAAAAGTGAAATCAGATGAAGTAGGAAGAGTTGGTCTTTTCTTCTCACCCGGTATGGCCAGCCAAACACTCTCCCCTCAGGGGGCTTGGGGCTGCCCTGGCCCAGGGGTCAGGAGGAGGCAGGGGATCAGTAACTGGATATCATGGGGCTCCAGGTATTAGAGCCTACTTTCACCAGAGCATCAAGGTCTGTTGCAGAGTGAAGGCTCCCAGAGCCTGGACTGGTGGTCACTCAGACCTGAGCAGCACTCTGCTCCATAGGCTGGGAGATGGAAAAGGGAAGCAGCACTCTGGGGTGGTGGAGAGGGCCCGTGGTCCTTTCTCTGCAGATGCCAGGGCTCCTGCCTGCCCTGCCCAGCACCTTCAGGCTGAGATGAAAGGGAGGGGTGGGTCTAACTGGGGTGGGAAGGTAAGGAGATGCTGCTGTCCCCTTGAAGGTGAGGGGGCTGCTTCCCTCCCCAGGCAGCATGGGGGGGGGGAAGCTGTGCTGAGTTTGAGGGGTGGAGAGGGGTTCTGGTGTACCGCTCGTCCACTCGCCCCACCAGTGCAGTCTGTGTGTGGACAGAGCACAGACCCCTCACAGAGATGGGGTGCAGGCTGCCTGCCAGGGTCTGACAACCCTCTCCTCTTGCCTCACAGGATCTGTCAACCAGGACGGCCAGGAGACCCAAGGTCCCAGCGATGGCTTCTTGAGCTCCAAGGTGGCTGTCTTTGCGGCGATCGGCGCTGGCTGCGTCATCTTCATCCTCATCATCATCTTCCTTGTCGTCCTCCTGATCAAGATCCGCAAGCGGCACCGGAAGCACACGCAGCAGCGAGCTACAGCCTTGTCCCTCAGCACCTTGGCCAGCCCGAAATGCAGCGGGAATGCGGGCTCCGAGCCCAGCGACATCATCATCCCCTTACGGACTACAGAGAACAACTACTGCCCGCACTACGAGAAGGTGAGCGGGGACTACGGGCACCCCGTCTACATTGTCCAGGAGATGCCCCCCCAGAGCCCAGCCAACATTTACTACAAGGTGTGAGGAGCAGCCTCGGCAAGCCGCCGATGCAGGAGCACGGGAGCGCCGAGCACAGGGGGCAGCCGCCCCCAGGGTCTCCCCACGGGCGGTCTGGCGCCAGGAGGGAGGAAGCGAAATGAACCCCACGGCACGGCGCGGGGAGCGCCAGGGTCCGGCGCTGGAGAGCGGATGGCTCGCTCGCACCCTCGCGCGCTGAATTCTCCCCTTTGTATTTAGTTTTGTAGTTCTCAGCTTTTGTAATCCCGAGACTCGAGGGTGAGCCTTCAGCATCCTCCTCTTCTTCTCCAGGACTGCGGCCGGCCAGGGGCGGGTGCCGTGCCTTTCCACGCTCGCTTGGACACTGCAAGCAAACACAGAGACTCCACCTCCCCTTTTTCGCTTTGGGATTTCCCTGTGTCACCCCTCTACGTCCTTGTGTGAAGTGCCCGTGCGCCTGGCGCCGCATCGGCCGCCGCTCGGGTCCCGGAGCCTGGACCGGCGGCGAGGAGCCTCTGTCCGAGGAGGAGCGAGCAGCTGTGTGTGGGGAGGAGGAGGATGCTTTGCCTAGGTGCCAAGATGCAGACAACTGTGCAGGGAGGAAGCTGGCAAACCCGATTTACTACTACTACTATTATTATTATTATAATTATTTTAATTTTTTTGTAACATTTTTATTTTTGTGAATTCCGGGCGGGATTCCGGCCCGCCGCCTTCGGGCCCATGCCGTCGCCTCCTTCCAGCACGCCGTCCCTCCGGCCGCGGGGCAGACCCCGCTGCTCCCGGCGCTGCCCTTTTAAACTTTTGTGTTCATAGCTGTTGACTCTTGTTTTAGTCTCTTTATAAAAAGAAAGAAAGAAAAAAAAAAATACCTATACCATGTCTCAAGCATTCAGTGCGCGAGAGTCCGGGTGCTCCTCCTGTTCCATGCGGAGCAGCAGCCTTGGCCTGGCAGCTCTTCCCAACGCCCTGAGGGTGTCCGACTGCAGAGAGAAGCGTTTGATGAGGGTTTCCATCAGGCTGGGGCAGAGCCTGCTGGAAGCAGAGTAGGGGGCAGCTGGAGACCAGGGGGTAGCTGCAGCCCCTGGTCCCGTCCCCCCACTGGTGATGCTGTGGGTGGCTGTTCTTGGAAAGGAAAACTGGAAAACAAACGTTCCTGACCCACCGGTGGTGCTGGGGAGGCTGGGAGTGCCAGGAGGAGGCTGGTGCTTGGCACTGGAAGCCCCATGGAGGGGTAACACGGGTGGCTGTAGCCCCAGACTTACCTTGCTGGGAGCTGAGCCGATGGCTCCTGACCAAGCCTGGTTTACCATGGGAACCCAGTGCCCCTTTGTGGGACCTGCCTTTGGGGACAGTACCCTGCAGCACCAGCCCCTGCCTGCCATGCTCCCCACATGGGAGCATCACCAGCCCTTGCTCGCTCTGCCCTTGCCTTGGCCTTCTCTTGTCCAGAACTGGAAGGGTTGAGCCTTGGGCTCTTCTGGTGGAATCATTCCCAGCTTCATCTTCCCAGGAGGACCTGCCAGCTCTGTGGCTGATGCTGGCGAGCAACACGGGGCAGGTGGTGCACAGCCACCCCCCTGTCCGCAGCCTGTCCAGCTTGGGGGCGGGCGGCCACCCCCTTCTCCTTCCTTGCTTTCTTTTCCTTTCAGAAGTAGCTGCTTTTGCTCAGGGAGTGAGCGTGGGGCAGGCGGTGCTGCTCCCAGGGCAGCGGGCTTGCGGTGGCTCCAGGCCTGGTTTGTCCTTGCCTGTCCCCAGGGCCCCGAAACCCGTGTTAGGAAGTGCCCATAGAGCGAGAGAGCTGCTCTGCAAAAGTGCCTTGACGAGGAGCGGGCAGGGGTGGCAGGAGGGGCAGAGCAGCGGATGGGAAACCCAGCGGCTCGATGCTGTGCTGGGGATTTAGCTGCGGTCCTGAGTGGGACTGGAGCATCCCGCAGTGTTGTGGTGTTGGTTGTTGTTCTGTTAAAGGCAGGAGGCTGGGCTGGAGCAGAGCAGGCTGCCCCTGCTCTCCTCCTGCACTCAGCATCCAGCGGCGAGGATGGCTTCTAGGGCCCTAAAATGGCTACTGCCCTCGGGAGAGAAGAGCCATAGCGGGTGCTCCCCTGAGCCTGGCCCTGCTCCCTGGTCCCTCCATGTAGCACCTTTTAGCCCCTCTCCCCCACTGCATCCATGCCAGCACTGTCTGCCCTCGGCTGCTGCTGAAGGGCTGGGGCCACCACAGCTGGGACCCCCCAGTCCCTGCTGGAGTGGGGTCTGCCCTCAGAAATCACAGCAAATTGTGTCTTAAAGAAAATCCCCCTTTCCCTCACTGGTGCCCTTTCCCATCTGCTGCGTGGTGACCTGTGGTTCCTGATGTGGGCAGTGGCGGTGGTGGATCAGGAGGGAGCAGTGGCTGGTGTGGAGGAGGTATTTGGGGGATGATTTAGTTTTGATTCGTTTTGGAGGAGAAGGGAATGAGTCTGGCCACAGTTGTGCCAAAAGCAAAGTGATGGTGGCTCTTACCTGGCTCAGTGCTGTCCCCAGCCAGGCTGCAGCTCAGCAGCCCCATCACCTCCATTCCTGTTGCTGGGGGCAGCTGAGAAACCTTGTAAATATGTGAAGAAAGGGTGAAATCTGAACTCTTGGTTTTTGCTGAGCACCTCGGTCTGCTGGGTCCTGAAATGGAGTGTGTCCCTTTGGTTCTTTTCATTGAAAGCATTGAAGTTTGGTTGGTTTCTTTTCTTTTTTTTTTTTTTTTTTTTGTCTTGCTTTGTTTGTGTAAATACTAGTCTTTTTTGGAAGAAATAATGTAAAGATGTTTTGTATAAACTCTGAATTATTTTCTGGTTGCTTTTTCTTAGAAAAAAAAACAAAGGAGAACTAAAAAGAAAAAAAAAAAAAGAAAAAAGAAACAAGAAAAAGTAATTTTAACCACGAGAACGGGTGTAAAACATTGTCATACTGCGCTCAGCCCCGGGCTGCCCGCGGGCTGTGCTGGTGTGCGAGTGCTTGGTCCCCTGGGATACAGCAGAGAGCGTGGCTGCTCCTGCCCTGGTTCCTGGGACAGCCCCAGCACCCATGGCAGGGTCAGACCTGGCTCATCCCCAGCTTGTTTCTGGCTGTCCTGGGTCCAGGCAGAGCTGCAGCCCCAGGCAGGAGACTTGGCAACACCAGGTGAACTAAAGGAGCACCAAATTTATCTCATTTTTTGTCTTAAACCAAAAAAGCCCGAACCTCAGGATGTGGAACTCAGTGCAGCATCCTGAGATCCTGATCTGCTGTTCCAGACCCGTGCAGCTGCTCTTGTTGCAGATCCTTTTCCCCAACTATCCCTATTTTCCAGTTGCCAGCTGCAAGCACACCACAGCCCAATCTCTGCTTGGTGCCTGGGCTGGGGTGGCTTCTTCCTCTTCAGCAGAGCCCATGTTTTGCACGGGACAGTGCCAAGGGTGCTTGCGCTCGGGGAGGTGTCCATGGCCATGAAAGCCATTTCTGGTGTCATCGGCATGCTGGCATTTCCCTAGGGGCAGCCAGAAGGCAGCAGGGAGCTCCTGCAGTCCCACTTCCTCATTGGAATGCCTGTGAATCTGCATTATAGGAGAGTGAGGCGGTTTGGAGCGGGGTTGGTACCTCCTATCCTCTTGTCCTCCCTCTGGGCTGCACCGCGCACCAGCACACCCCCACCGCGCACTCCCACATTTCAGAGCTGTGACCACATCTACATCCCATGCCGTTGCATCCGTGCCCTCACCGTGGTCCTGCATCCCAATGGGGGCAAAGTCCCAACGTTCCCGGGCAGCCCTGCATCGCGCCATCCACCATCCGTGGGGCTGCTGCCTTTGCCATGGTGCCGGCACCACTGGAGCATCCAGGCTGACACATTTTCCCTGTCCATCCTCTGCTGCCGTTAGTCGAGAGGTGGATTTGAACTTGGAGCTCAGGTGTGGCCGGGCCCACTGCTGGTGCAGGGCATGCAGGACTGGGGCATTGGCCCAGGGCTGGGAATGCCACTGGCGAGCAGCAGGAGCGATTTGGGTACCACATGGCTTGGCCATGAAGGGGGACGCCGGGGCTTTGGCTGTGTGGCCATGGCCCAGAGGAGATGAGGACCCTCTGTGCCAGAACCTACCTGGGGGATGGCTGGTCCCCAAGCTGCCTGCAGGGGCCATGTCCCAGAGCAGGGCTCGGCAGTCCCGCCTGGTTGATTGTCCTTGGCTCCCGGTGGGTCCCAGTGGCCACGCTCCCGGCTCTGCAGAGTTTTCTTTCTTCGTGTCATGTTCCTCTTTTTGATTCCTTCCACCTTCTCTCCAGCTCTCCCGCCCAGTAGCATATCATCGGCATCGGTAACCAGCTCTGTGGCATCTGAACTCCATGGAGCCGTGATGGAACCTGATATATTGTTAAATAAAAGGGTTTTTTTCCTATGGAAACCTGGCTGTCTCCTGTGTGCTTTTTTGCTGCCCTAGGTTATCTTCCAAAATCCCAGCCTGGTCTGAAGAGATCTGGGGCAAGTTAGCTGACTCACTCCATCAGTGGCTTTTCCTGCTGGTGTCAGAGGGAGCTGTCGGGTTTGTTTTGGTCAGCATTAAAAATGTACAGAGTTTTGTCTGATACTTGCAGCATCTCACAAGGCCCCTCTGACTTGAAGGAGTTAGAGTTCATATGGATGGCTGTGTTGGATACTCAATGGATACAGTTGGACTTGATGATCTGAAAGGTCTCTTCCAACCTGTATGATTCTGTGGCTCTGACCCTGAAGCTGGAGGCTCCCCTGATGCCACCAGCATGGCCCCAGGGTCGATGTGCCCATTGGCCCCGTCCCCTACAGGAGCTGGAGGGGCTGTGCCTGCACCAGGAGCCATCAGAGCCTGTGGGAGCCGTGTGCAGATGGCTCAGGATGGGGATGTTCATCCCATCTAGTCACTGATAATTATTTAGTCATTTCTCAATGTACCTTCGTGTGATAAATTATTAAAAAGTCATTTTAGGAAATGGGATGGTAATAAATCCTTAGCAGATGGTGCATTCGCTGGCTCCAAAATGGGCTCCACCACGGTCATTGCTTTTGTTCTCTATAACCAGCTTTCATATGGCACTTTGCATTGCTATGAAGTACCAGGCAGCACCATATGTTAGGAGTGAGAAACGGGATGTGGATGGGAAACACTTGGTGAGTTTCTTCAACCTCCTTGCTCAGCCTGGAGCCAGTATTTCTGATTTTGCTGGAGTTTGGACACCACTTTGCAGCACAGGATAGCGGGTGGCATGGAGGACTCCGGGACGGCTGAAGAAGAAAGGTCCTGGGGAATGGTAGTGACATCCTCATTGCTGGTTTGGATCTGGGATGCAGGATGCAGGTCATGGGAGGAATGATGAAGACTGGAGATGGAGCAGGAAGATGGGGAAGGGGTTGCTTCCTGGTGAGGCTGTGCTCAGGGTGATGCAGGTGTGAGGTCCCAGGTGGAGGCTACAGCTTCTGGGTGCTGCTTCCCTGTGGATCCCAGGGGACCGGTGTGGTGGTGTGGAGCCTCACTGGTCTTCAGAGTCAGAGGAAGGCTCTTAGAACCTGGAGAACGCTGGCAGGAGTGAGCATCCTCCAGGAAAGGCAAAGGGAAAACCATCCAGAGGAGGGGAGCGAGGCCAGCTTCCCTCTAGCTCATAAAACAGTTCTTTAGGAGAGGATGGCAGAGTCAAAGCTCGGCCTGCAGTGTATAAAGGCTGCATCAAAGAATCAGAGAATGGTTTGGGTTGGACGGGACCTGAAAGATCATCTAGTTCCAACCCTCCATCAATCCAGGTTGTGCCACCAGGGGCTGTGGATGCTGGAATGCATGGTTATCGCATGCAGGAATGAGCCAGGTTTATGGGGTCTTGGAGGAAAAATGAGGCCAAGGCACCAAAAGCGGGTGGAGAATGAACTTCTTGGCTGACGTGTAAGGGGTGAGAGACAAGGTGGGCCGAGGAGATCAAAACCAACGGGTTGGTTCCAAGGTGCTTGGGGCGCAGCCTGAGCCACAGGGACCATGCCAGGACGTCTGTAGGAGCAAGCAGGGGCTGATTTGGATCGGGGTCAGGGTGGGGGGAGTGGGCCTTTGGGTGTGACAGACGTGCTTATATGTGGTTTGCTGGTTTGAAAATCATCCCTCTCTGCGTGCTTTGATCCCAGTGTGAATTAAATAACACTTTTAATTTTAAGCAGCTTCGCTGGTCCCTGATGCCCAAAGGGTAAAACTGTAAGCGCCAAACTTGCTTGGACCTGCCAGAGAAGGAGAAAAGCACTTTAGCAGGTTCCTGTAATCCAGCACCCGGCCGGGGAGCGGGAGCACAGCAGGTTCTCCCCATCTCTGGGCTGCTCCAGGTGGACCCAGACAGGGACCTGGCACAGAATCAGGAACACCCACAGCAGGATCTGGGGCGCAAACCCTGTCTGACCCATGGGATGTCCCCCACTGCACCTACCCATGTAGGTCCTGAGGCTGCTGCAGATGGGGTGTACCATGGGCACAGGTAGAACAGAGCTGCACCATCCCCATTGCATGGGGCTTGGGGGAACCACCATGCTCCCCTTTAGCCCGCACCGTAATGCACCAAAAGCATCTGGGATGGGAAAGGCTTTGCTGGGAGCATCTTTGCCCTTGCCTGCAGTGGGGAGAAGACACCAACCTGTGAGTGTTAGAGCCTACGGGGACACAGGAGCCAAGGACACGCACGCATGTGGTGGCTCTGCTCCCAGGGGCCGGCTGGTAGGGAGTGGGATTGGAGGGATTTTGCCTGGGAGCCTCCAGATCTGGAAACTTCATTAAAGCTGCAAAGCTCTGATGTTTTTGGATGTCCGTCAGGCCTGGATACGTTATTTTAATTATTTAATGTAAGAGAGCTTTCTGTCAGGTTTATTAACCCACCCTTGGCTGCATCCCACTCGGGTCCGAAGCAGCTGCTGGGGTGTTTGCAAGGGCTGGGCCCTGAGCTGTGGCTACAGGAGGATGGATGCTGGAGTGCACTGTGGCCCTGGTGCAGGAGCCAGCCCACCGGGTGGCATGGCCAAGGTGGCACCCCAAGTGTGCTCCACTCTATGGAACGGGAACTCCGTACAGAAAGTACTGGTGTAACCTGGTTCAATGATGGGAAGCTCAAACTGCCCTGGGGGGAGTGATCAGGATGTAACAGATCCACAGCACTTCCAACTCCTGTTTGAGACAAGGCTCAGCTGGTGACGGGGCATCAGGCTGCCCCAGTGGGGCTGCTAGGGACCTTGGGCTGAGCCCTGGCACGGGGAGCACACAGCAGGCACTGACTGCAGTGCCTGGACCCCGGCCACAGCTGCCAGAGGTGCTATTGGATGCAGGGCAGATGCTCCCTGCAGCATCGCCTCTCACTGCACACCCACAGCATCCCTGTGCTGCAGGGAGGGTCAGGCTGTTAGGGAAGGGGAGATCACAGAGGCGGCTTCCCAGGCCACCTCTGGCCTCGTAGCCACAGACTCGCATACCAGTGGGTCCATGTAACCTGGCAGCAACCTCCCCGAATGGAAAGCAGACCGCAGAGAGAGGCTTGATGCTTTTCAGATGTTTTTGGTGTATTCTGATCTCTCCGTTTATGCAGGCGCCTCCCAAGGATCACCCGGTTTGTCCCAGCATATGGGGGGGTGCAAGTAGGGAAGGCAGCAACACTGCAGGGACTGAGCCTGCAGCAGTGGCTCCATGCACTGGTGCTGTGCAGGTAGCACTGGTGCTTTGCAGCGTGCTCTTGCAACTGCTCCCACCCTCCCGACTGCTCTTTGCCTTGCTATTTCCAGCACTGTCAAGTGTCACCTGCCCTGGAGCTTCCCTCTGCCCACAAAGCCCTGAACAATGCCTGCTGCTGCACATCCATCGGATCAGCTGGCCCCAGGAGGCAGCAGGGACAGAGCCAGAGCACCAGTGCCTCCAGCCCCTTGCTCATCCTGGCCTTGGCTGGGCTGAGGGTAAGCAGGGCAATGAAGCCCCAGTCCTCATGGATGCTCTGAGTTCCCTTTCCATTATCACACCCCATTGGCCCAACTCACCGCAACACTTCCAAGGACGCAGCCACCCTTTCAACCCGCTCCTCCTCCTCCTCCGGCATTCCCACTCCAAGGGGAGCATCTGAAAACCCCCAGCCTGTAAAAGGCTATATAACAGCAATCCTTTTTAATAAACCTCGGCCAGGCCGGCTGCTGCAATGAGGATTGGGAAGTTTATCCTTGTTTCCCTACAGTACATCCAAAATAACTAACAGGTTCCCCTGGTCGAGGCGATGGGCTTTTCCCACAGCCAGGCTTTCTGCAGCATCCACCAACTTGCTGCACCTGGTTTCCACGCTCCAGGAGCGGAGCCTGGAAGATCCATTAGGCTGTCGTGGTATGCAACGAGTCCCACGGGCTCCGTAATGAGAGCAATAACGGCAATGCACCGGAGGGCCGTTTGTCACCAGCCCATCGCATGGGCAGCGTGCCGGGGAGCGCGGGACAGTGGTCCCTGCCCCGGGGCTACATAGAGGAGGAGGAGGAGGAGAAGGACAGGAGGAGGAAGAAGAGAGTGTAGCCTGTGCTGGGTTGGAATCCAGTGCTCACCCTGCGTTCCTGCTCAGCGACCAGCGAGCAGCACCATCCTTAGTGACAGTGAAGCTGTCTGTGCCCCAAGGCAGAGCAAATCTGGGACGAGAGGCAGCCCAGCCCAGGTCCACACAAAGGACCGGCCGTTTTCTGTAGCTAAAACCAGCTGATCTCAAGTGCTCTAAGAAAGACATCACGTGCTGCCAAGGTTTGTTCTCCACAGGCAGGCCTGAAGCCAGGGTGATGGTTGCAGCCTTCTTATCCTGGCAGGGCTTCCAGCATCCCTAAATGGCTCTTTCCTGGATGTATCCCAGCGGGAAGCCTGTCCATGAGGGGGGAAGAGCCAGCCAGGACACACGCAGCAACACAGGGGTCTTGTGAATGACCCCCTCTGTTTGCCATCAGCCTGGTGGGGCAACCATGATGAAAGAGCTGGGTTGGATGGGCTGAAGAGATGGGAAAGGGAAAGGACCTTAAGGAGGGGTCTGGGAAGCAGGGAAGGGAGGAGGGAAGGAGAGAGCTTTCTTCCAGCAGGGTGAGGCCTGGCAAAGCAGGGAGCTCCAGGACTAATCCAGTAGTTTTTCATTTGTTAAAAGGCATGGATACAAGTATTGCTGCACAGCAAACGTAAATTAATTATGTGCAAGGTTTTAATGTCACTGAAACACAACCCTTGGAGAGGGTCCCCCGGCTGCTGGAACAGGGTCTGAAGGAAACACAGAGCTTTTCCTTCTTCTTGTCCTGACGGAGGATGAGAGGTAAATGTGAAATGTCAGCGCTGCGACCACCCTGGGAGCCAGGGATCCTGCCTCTCCACCAGCCTGGACCACATTTATCTGGTTGCTCTGTGGTTCTGCC